ACTACTACTTCTACTACTACTACTACTACCACTACTACTACTACTACTACTAAAGTCGATGGTTTCATAATCTAGTACCGATCCTACACTTCAGCTGAATATCGTCAAAGAAACCCTAAATAGCTAAAATAACTAAAATAGCTAAGGGGTCTTATTGTTTCGCCTTGTATCTTTTATGTTTTCTGGCAATGGCAGGCAAGTAGCCCTTGTTGGATCCGGAACCCGGCCTGGTGGGCCTCAATCCCGGCGGCGAAGAGGAGGAGGAGTCGGAGCAGCATAGTCAGGAGGGACTGCTCAGTCATAAAAAAAACGGATGGAGAGGAGAAGAGATGGATCCACCATAAGACGTTTGGTGTAGCAGACCTTGGCCGCCCTGAGGGCGGGTGGGAACGCGGTCGACCATATGGTTGATTCCCACGAAAACTGCGATGGCGTGTGGACCTAGTACTGACCACCATCTGAAAGTTCAGAATAGAAGAGTCAGTGGTTAGAGGGCGCAGTGCATCATAGGTTTTTTGAATTGTATAACTTGTCTCAAAAGTTGTGATGTCCCCTCAGGGGTGTGCTTCAAAAATTGTCGCTTGGGAGACATTAACTTTTTACTGCGGCCTAGGTACGCCAACTTTTTGAGAGCTGTGTTTTTCGATTTAAATTATCCCGGGGGAGGCGTATTTGCGCCCCCTGTGACCTCTAAACAAAAGCCTGCCGTCGATGTACCGTTTGATATGTAAATAAATTCTTTCCTAGGACGTGCTTCTAACATTTAATCTGCAAACCAAATCTTCATAAGTAAACGTTTACCTTGCCTACAAAAGAACGAAACGTCCCCTGTAATATTAGGACGCTAGTCTGAATAATTCGTCCAAACGCCTTACTAACTTGGCACGGCGTTCAACTAAATGAGAACTCAAAAGGCAATACTCGTGCAAAAACACCTTTCCACGCAACCAATGATACGATTAGGTAGGAACCCAAATAATCGTATTTATGCCACATACTTAATTTTATTTACCTCCAGTAGGTAATTGAGTAGAAGAGAAAGTAGACGCAATCGCTAGGATGCCTCTTAGAGACCGCGATGCCGTCTCTCTGATTATGGGTTAAAGCGTGAATATGAAAGTTCAGGCGAATAACGTTCGTGGTGTCCCAGTGACCGCGCCTATTAGGTTAGGCTGATTTCAACACTCCGCGCTGTATGAGAGGAGTGTC